ACAATTTTATATGTTGTGGCAATCTGATGATCAGGCAGAGGAAATGCGTAGAATCCATAAGCATATTCCAGCACCTAAAAGACATTTACCTGGTCATGCAGAGAGCTATAATCCTCCGGCGGAATATTTATTTGATAAGAAAGAACTCAAAGAATGGAATAAATTAAAAACAACTCCATGGAAGAGAAAATTACATTTTATACCAGAAAAGTTCAATTCTCTTCGAGAAGTACCAGCATACTCTAGATATATCAAAGAAAGATTTCAGAGGTGTTTAGATCTGTACCTATGTCCTAGAGCATTAAAAATGAGACTGACAATAGAGCCTGAAGCTTTGGTTCCACAATTGCCCAGTCCAAAAGATTTGCAACCATTTCCAACAACAATGTTCATGGTATTTAAAGGACATACAGATATGGTCAGAAGTATTACTGCAGAACCAGATGGTCAGTTTATTGCTTCTGGTGGAGATGACATGTTATTGAAGAGTGAGTTACTTAATTCATCTTATATATGTATATTAATTTATATTTATTATATGTTACCATTATATATAATGGTATAATAAATTATATATATGTATATATAATTATGCAAATAATTATTATGCAATATGTTACTATCAATTTCTATTTATTAATATGTGTATATTGTAAATTACATACTTTGCATGTAGAATATAAAAGATATATTATTTTGACAGTATGGGAAGTGAATACAGGCAGATGCTTAAAAACAGTGCCCTGTGGCGGTGTTATTAGAAGTGTTGCCTGGTGTCCAAATCAAGCTATATCATTGATAGCTGTTGCAGCTGATAAAAAGATTCTTTTAATAAATCCTGGAGTTGGAGATGATCTTATTAGCAGCAAAACTGATCAGCTTTTGGAGATAATACCGCAGAGTGAAAAAATAGGTATCAATAACTCAATAATCAAAGCAATATTGTTTATATAAACGCTTTTAAAAATAATCTTTAAAAAATTAATTATAATTATATATCTCTCTATAAGCCCTTTTTCTTGAAACAAAGTTACACATGTATGAGATTAATGTATGTTATATGATATTAGTAAGTGACAGAGTGCGAAGTGCAGTACAGTGGGAGCAAGTAGAAGGGGAACACTGGACCAATGGAATTAGGATAATTCTAAATAATTTTAAAACTGTAAATCAAATAACATGGCATGGAAAGGGAGATTATTTTGCTACTGTAATGCCAGATGGCCAAAATAGATCAGTGTTGATAAATCAGTTGTCAAAACGAAGATCTCAATTGCCTTTTACTAAATCGAAGGGATTAATACAGTGTGTGTTATTCCATCCAATTAGACCATATTTATTCGTTGCAGTAAGTAATAATAACTTGTACTAAAAAATACTAATATTATTATACTTCAGTCTTTTTTAATAGATTATTTATCTTTTCCTCAGACACAAAGGAACGTGAGGGTATATGATCTTGTGAAACAGGAAATGGTTAAAAAATTATTATCCAATTCACAATGGATATCAACAATGGCTATTCATCCTGGTAAACTATATTTATATATTTTGTATCGATTGTGTATATGTTCTTAATGTGTAATCGTCAATATAAATTTTTTAGGAGGTGATAATGTCTTGGTAGCAACGTACGATCGTAAAATGCTTTGGTTCGACTTGGATTTAAGCACTAAACCTTATCAAACATTGCGATTACATGGAGCCGGCGTACGTGCTGTAGCATTTCACAAACGATATCCTCTATTTGCCTCTGGAGGTGATGATAGGGGACTTATTGTGTCTCACGGAATGGTGTACAAGTAAGATATAATCAATATGGAATTTTTTTGCATATCTGTATGTTTAATCGTTGTATATGTACTTTTTTCAGTGATCTTTTACAAAATCCGTTAATTGTGCCATTGAAAAGATTGTGTAATCATGAGACTTATAATGATTTTGGTATTTTGGACATCATGTTTCATCCCATCGAACCATGGATATTTTCTGCAGGTGCAGATTCTACTATACGAATGTATACATAAAAATAAATATATATAAATATTTACAAAATATTATAGAATCACACCATATTCACTAAAAAGAAAAAAGTTATATTTTCTATTATTATAATTTTTTCCCAATCTTATATAAAATATATAAAGTATATGTTATCTCCCTTTTCTTATGCCTTTTTTTTTTGTTATCTGGTGTGTATAAATTCTTTACAATAAATTTAATAAAAATGATGATTGCATAATAATAACAAAATGTAGGAACTTGTACATTTGCATTAAAGTTAAAAAATCATAAGATATCATTAAATTATTTTCATGTTATTATAATAAATATTCTATTAGCTAAAATAATTATTATAAAAAGCAAAAATTATTTTATGTGAAAGATTTCTGGAAAATGGAAGTATGCATAAATTAATTATGCTAAATCACGATATAGAAATAGTATTTTGCTCTTTTCTTTCCCCTGCTTACTAGAATGTTTGCTTTATTTCACATCCGTATAATATATTTGTCCTAATCAACAATGTCCTAAACATTGCCATTCAGGCTCGCCGCAATCGCAAGTACGACCCGCATGTCGCACTTGGAATACAGTAACGGTACCTCTACTATCGTCAAATCTACACGTGATGTGCAGATCATATATTAAAAAAGTGTAAAATTGACTACCCCATCTTTGCCTTAGATACACCGATCTAGGATCTTCTCTTAATACATTTTCTATAGCTTGTTTTTGTTCTTCAACTTTATCATGTGAAATCTCGTTTAATTGCATCAAAGCACGTTCATTGAAAATTACTGACAATGTCGGTGTACGAGGCTGCGAAATCCAGTTTGGTACTCTTACCTCAGAAAAATTACCTTCTATTGCCGTATTCATTGGCACAGATGATATGGTTGTTGCTGCGTGAATATCTGGTAAAGTTCGCGATGGTGTCAAACTCTGAGACTCGAATCCTTCCTCTCCGTCAGGTGCCTCGCGTATTCCCATTCTTACAGGAGAATTGTCGACTCTTGCATGCAACACATGATGACTGACTAAATCTATATCTGTACCACAAACTGTACTTGGACCATCTGCTCCATCCAACAGTCTAGAGTTGCGTAAAGACTGATTCTCGGTATAATCTATTGCATTATCATTATCTCTCTCTATATATGTTGAATCTGTATTGCTAAGATTATTTATATCTACATCATGTAATCTGCTATTCAAATCTCTAATAGAATCAGTCTGTGATTCGGCTATTAATATTGCAGTGTTGTGTTCAATAGAATCTAAATCTGATCTCATATTAGATGCCCTATCTTGTATTTGGTATGTTTCTGTATTCATAATATCTGCAATATCAGTTTGTAATGAAGTAGCATTATTAGCATAAGCTTCCATCAACTGAGAAGATTGTCTTGTAATATCGTAGCCATCAAGATTTGAAGTTGCTTGAAATTCTTCTACCTGGAGTCTCAAAGCTATTTCTTCATCTTTGGAAATATCAAATTCAGCTTGTTCGCTATTGTTAGTGTTTGTATCGTCACTAAAAAAATTAGTTGATTGGTCCTCATTTAAGCTAATGGTTTCTCCCATATTGTGAAACATGTCCGAGACATCTGTATTACTTTCTCTTGGTCTATTACTTAATTTCTCAATATGTAACGGACTATCGTATTGTGGTATATATGGTTTTATATCTAGAACAGGGGTCTGATTAACCATGTCAACACCTTCAAAATAAATTGTGTAATTCTCAATTTTTAAAATCTTAACTAAACTTAGACCAATAGGACATGGCCGATGTGGAGAACGCGTAGAAAATACACCTGTTTTTATCCCATTTAATCGTGGTGGTGCCACTTTTGCACGAGTGTGCGTTGAATCATTTCTATGAAAATGAAATAAAATCCTATTGAAAGGAAGAGGCAGAGATTATTATTTGTTTTTTTATCAATAATATCGATATTATTTTTTCAAAAATTATGCTATTCTTACCACATATGTGAAAAATCCTGCAAGCCCTGTAATGCATGATCTGGATTTGTAAATACAGAATTATAAAGTGTTAATTTTCCTGGCACCTTTCCGCATATTCCAGGTTGTCGTGGGGTTGCTCTCTTGTTGGGAAACCAAGTAGAAATGACACCAATAGGTTTTAATTTGAGAACATCTTGATCTTTACTTGTACCAGGCTTTGCTTCTTCCAAAGATGAAGCTATTAGCTTGGAGTGTGAAAAAGCTTCCCCACCTTTTTGTAATTCCAAGAAGCGTTTAATGTTATTAACATCTTTATCTAGTATATACCGTAGACCTTTCACTTGTTGTCTGTAACACATCGAATCAAACTTCTGTCAAAAAGTATTGCTTGGTATGTGTGCGTAATGCAATGCAATATGTATATATAAACATGATTAAAACGAATATATATCTTTCTTAAAGTACCTTAAATTATTAATCTCTTGTCTGGCTGTATTCAATTGACCAAGCAAATATTCAACACTTAAGCTAGAATTCCGACAAGTCAGATCCATGTTTGTTCAAAGTTCAAAGGGCCTGATCACCGAGCACGAAGATAGTCGTAATCGTTACCGACAGAGTCGTAAACATAAGTCGAAGACTAAAATAATTGGAGGGATAAATCTCGCGCATGCGCTAACAGACGTTATTACGCTTCAGTCACGTATATATTTCATTGCAATAAAGAGAATCATTAGATCCCTCTCGCGGAAAAGGAGTAAAAAAATATTGTATATTTATAAAAAGATATTATATATTTAAAGTATAAAATATTATATATTTGTATATATGTGATAGTAATATATGCACATTTAATATATAACTATTATTTATATTCTATATTGTTACTATAAATAAAATAACAAAAATATTGATAATTTATATACCCTCCTTCCCCATAAAAGTTCTGCGTAGCATCTTAGCACGAGCCTGTTAAAGTCAGTCACATGTTCGATGACGTAGTTCACGCATGCGCATGAAAATCCCGTTCGGAAAGATTCGTCCCTCCAATTTGTAGTTTGCAGTTCATGTTCATGGCATTTCATTATAAATCATTGACCAAGGATCACCGAGAGCAACTGATGGTGTAATTTAACATCGTACGCATGTTCGATTTTCGAACACCTTGAGCATTCCGTGTCTGTAAATCGTTTTGTTTCACGATAATATGAAGCTCTTCGAGGATCCTGTTTTTAAAACTAAGTACATGAAAAACAAACTCCGCGTAAAACGATGGGAAAGCGATTTTATGGAAAAATACGGACGCAAACCTAACAAAGTATGTTGCCTCTTCACCTCTGTTCACATTTTCATCATAATCGGTGTTACATAGCGGCTGTTTGATTTCTATGTTGCATCCACATTCACATAAGTTGTATATTAAATAAATAGAAAAATGTTATAATTATATTCAGTTTCAAAAGTGGATAGTAAACTAGACAGAGATGTATGTCCAGTACTTTTAAGAGTTTTGAGTTTTTATATATGTTTGTTATATTATTAATAAGATTGTGATTTGTGTATACTATATTATCAGCAATGTAACACATATATCCCTACATCTTATTTACATTATTGCATTTTTTATTCATTTATTTTATTTGGTTTTTTTTTGGCAATTTTCAGAATGACATAAAAGAAGCAGATATATCTATCAAAGAGGCATACAAGGTATATTGGAAACTAAAAACGAGCGCGCTTGAGGAAACTCTTACGGATATTACTTTCTGCGATGATATGCAAGACAATGTCACTAACAATTTATTGCAAAAATCAATAAATGATCAGGATAAGATTCCAAGTCCAGAAAAAATTTCAAAAGATACAGAGAACATAAATCCACATGATAGCAAATGTTTTACAGAAACTGAAAGCTCTCTCAACCAATTGAGTACATCAACAAATGTTGAAGGAGTCTGGGGAGATAATTTGAACAAGAGCAAGGAACAAATGCCAAAGAGAAAGCAAGCCTTATTGATTGGTAGAACTTCGTCTTTTCAACTATCTAAAAACAAGTTTGAAAGTTCAACCTTTACTAAACGAAACCCGAGGAAATCGCTGTCATCGACTAAAATCAGGGACAAATGTGAGAACACCAGCTCAAGCATTGATCAGACTGTCGCGAGCGGCAAAGATGACTTTGATACGACAGCTAATGAGGTGAAGCCCATGTTTGGTGAATCAATGAAATTAACGTTTGAAGAAAACAAACCTGTTGTTCAATATTCCATCAATGCTGTTCAACAGTTGGCAGATGGCCATGTAACTTGTGTAAGCCGTAATTTAAATGAGGGCTGGCTTGATCGATGCACAAAGGAGAGTAATTATAATATGGAAACCATCAATGCAGAGAGATTCTCAGGTACTAGCGATTCTGGAGTGGAATCAACGGAATCCAGCATTCACTCCCCAAAGTCATCTATTGCGTCTGCTACAATACTTCAGGTTTCTGATGAAGATTTTATATGCAACAGTGATTCTGAAGAAGAGTGCAGGAAGAAACGTATCAGAAATTTCAAAAAGCAGTTGAGCAATCAAGATGATGGTCGTCCCACAAAACGACAATGCGTTAAAATGGATTTCGATTCCGCGATTACTTCAAAAGCGAGTACTAAACTGACCGCAATGGAGAAGTTAGAGAAAAAAATGGACACCGGAACAATGAACAATAATTTTGTTAGGATAAATTTGAAAAAGAAAGTGTTTGTGCGTGGCAAAAAGAACTTCAATTTGTTTAAGTATAAGAGGAATCAGTGGAAACAAAGGAAGAAATTAGCATCCAGCGAGAGCAGCTTGGATGCGGCTGACCTGATCGACAAAAATGGCATAACGTGTTTTAAATGCGGTGAATCTGGACATTTCGCTAAACGTTGCACAACTTTCAGGGACGCTGCTCTTCTACCTTTGAACGAGATCGACGAATCAACGAACTTTCCGACTCTGGAGGAAGCTGAGAAGATGGCCAGTAAGAACGCACAAGTTGTCGCGCGAAGTCACAGGATCGATCGACTTCCGGAAGGGTCGTCTGCTGCGAAGATTTCGTGTTCGCAAGACGAAGAAGAAAAAGAAGATATGGCGAAGTTATTCGATGACGATTTTGCTGACGTCAATGAGAAAGATACATTAATTTTCCAGCATAAGATACCACAGGAGTTATTGTCCAGATTATTGCCGCCGCAAAGAGAGGTGGTTGATCCAGTATATTCTGCAAATGAAGATGGCAGTCTTATCAAAACCCCGACGGAAGTCGTCGAGGCACTACGTATGTTCGGCCATGAAAATTTTAGGAGCGGCCAAGAGAAAGCAATAATGAGGATTTTGTCTGGCCAGTCTACTCTGGTGATGCTATCGACGGGGTCTGGGAAATCCTTATGCTACCAATTGCCGGCGTATCTGTACTCCCAGCATTCCCACTGCATTACTCTAGTAATTTCGCCCTTGGTATCCTTGATGGACGATCAAGTAATGGGCATGCCTAAGGTTCTGTCCGCTGCATGTTTGCATACCAATCAGACACCGAAGGTAAGAGAGCAGGTGATGCAATCGGTGAGGGACGGTAAAGTGAACATTCTTCTAGTGTCACCGGAAGCGGTGGTAGCTGATGAAAAATCCACCGGTTTCGGTGCCCTCCTCAGGCAACTACCGCCGATTGCGTTTGCCTGCATCGACGAAGTTCACTGCATTTCCCAATGGTCGCACAATTTCCGACCTTCCTATCTGATGGTCTGTCGGGTGCTTAAAGAGAAACTGCACGTGAAGACGATATTGGGACTTACGGCGACTGTCACGAAGACCACCGCAAAAAGTATAGTGAAACATCTGGATCTACATGATAGTATGGCTGGCGTCATATCGGATGTGCCCTTGCCTAGGAATCTCGTCTTAACGGTGTCCAAGGATGAGAACAAGGACCATGCGTTGATCGCGCTGTTGAAGAGCGACAGATTCCGCGAACTCGACTGCGTAATAGTTTACTGCATTCGTAGGGAAGAATGTGAGAGGATCGCAGCCTTGTTAAGAGTGTCGCTGCAGGTAAATATTAAGATTTCCCTCATTGTAGCCATATTCAATTACGATGTCAAAAGTTGTGAAATAAATAATTTTTTTTTCTTTTTTTTTTTCCTTACATTCTACTTGAGTACAAAACTTAAGCAGTTTATTTTTTTTTATTCTCATGAATTAAATCTATTCACGCAGGATCCACGAAATCCTGGGAAGCCGAAAGCGAAGATATCCATGATAGCTGAGGCTTATCACGCCGGTATGACAGCTCACAAGCGCAAAATTGTGCAAAAGGAGTTTATGAGTGGCAAAATTAAAATTGTGGTTGCTACTGTTGCATTCGGAATGGGCATCAATAAATTGGACATTCGGGCTATCATTCATTATAATATGCCTGGTACTTTCGAAGGATATGTACAAGAGATCGGCCGTAGCGGAAGGGACAGTATTACAGCGCACTGTCATTTGTTCTTAAATCCTACGGTATATTTGATTAAAATTTCTAAATTACTCTCTTTGGAGAAATCTCTCTCATTCATCTTTGATTCCGCTTTATAATCTATTATTATTTCTAAAACATACAGAAAAATAGTGATAAATGGGAATTGCGCAAACACATACATGCGAACGGTGTCGATAGGCATACGATCAGACATCTACTGCAAAGAATCTTTATTCCTTGCTCTTGCAAAAAAATCAAAGGGAAAGATTCCGATTGGAAGTGTCCTGGTCACGAAGTCGCCCTTCCAATCGACGAGATCGTTCAAGACCTCGATATTACACAGGAAACAATTTCGACATTATTATGCTATCTCGAACTACATTCGAAGAGGTTCATTACCGTGTTATCGTCTGTATATGTCCGAGCACGGGTTTCCAGCTATAATGGACCACAAGCTCTTAAACGAGCGGCGCAATCTGTAAGTTCTTATTCGAAATACCAGTAATATTCTAGCGATAATAGTAGAGTAAGATTTTTGAAAATTTTATTATGAGAAAAAAGATATTCTGTCAAAAAATCAGTAACATAGTACAAGATACAGCAAAAATAAATCATTAAGAAAAAAATATTGAAAGAGAAAATATAGAAACGATGAGAAAAAAAGAATATGCATTTGCGTAAACTCTTGGAAGTTTATACGATCGCGCAAAATCGAGAAAATTAATAATTCGGACAATCGAGCGCTCATGTTCCTCCTAAATAATTTACTAACGAGAAATCGTTTTTGAAACGACTTTGATTTCAGTCCCCACCATTGGCAATGGCGATAGCGTTGGACATGCAGAAGGGGATTTCGCATAAGGACAGTAACATTATAGAATTTTCGGTTATCGATATTGCATCGACCATCGGCTGGGATAGTGGAGTAGTAAAGAGCCATCTCAAAACGTTGGAATGGACGACAGGAGGTAAGAATTCTATCAAATTTCGCTTCTCGGGAAATGTCTGGTTTTTTTTCTTCTTTCTTTCTCATACATGTGAACGTTTTTCACAGCTGATGGGAAAACTAAACGTTCGGCTATATCGGTGCAATACGATAAACTCGGCTTACGGGTGAAAGCGCCGGGTGATTTGACTGATACGGAATTGGACGAAGCGCTTGACGCACTGATCGACCGTACTCGCTCCCAGGAATCTTCGTGTTTACAGCAGCTTGAGCTCATATCCTTGGCGTTCGATAAGATCAGCGTACCGACAATCAAGGATTGTTTGATTTTGGACGACGATGTCATGAAGAGAGCGGAAGAACTCAAAAATATTATCAGAGAATACTTTCAATCGGATTCTCCTTTAAACAATGTTGATACCGATTTCCAGGTACGTTCTCTAATTGTGAAATCTATTTAGAATCTTTGGTTATTAAACTATTAAAAATACATCTTTATTCATCTGTTTTGTACAGGATAAGGTGGCGAATGAGGAGCACATTGCCGCTGATGTGCGTAATTTGATAATACGTTATAGAGATACGAAATTCACCGGTCGCGCCGTAGCTCGCATCTTTCACGGAATACAGAGCCCAAATTATCCTGCACTGATTTGGAGCAAATGTAGTTTTTGGAGGGTACATATCGCTGCAGATTTCAACGTCATTTGTAAAATTGCAACCAGAGAAATTCTAGCATTACGATAACGAGATTGATTAATCGAATAGTAATATACTTGACATACGTACTCAAATCTTTCTTATTAACTTTATCATTTTAAGTTTTATCGAAATAAATTTTCATAATGCAATAAAATTGAGAGATTGATATTGTGAAAAAGATTATTTCTCTTTAAAAACTAACATGGTCTCAATATATTCGATTTGATTAATTTATCGAAATTTATCAAAAGCGAGTAGTCTTGTAATAAAATACGAATTTAAGAGATAACGTGGCAACTTGTTTTATGTTGGAGATATTGTGTACAAAGGGACTTTAAAGAGAAAAATAAAATGTGCTTTTGTACAACACAAGGTACATTTAAAATTGACATAGCAATTAAATTTACACTTGTTGAATCTTGATTAAATTTTAATGTAAACTTTTCTACAAGATCATGTAATATCAAATAAGAAATAATATATAAAATACTTCTTTTTCGTGTCTGGTGTGTTATAATGCTTTTAATTCTTAATAAAGAAACATCGGTTACTTTTAAAAGTACAAGATATATGAAACTTTATATTATTCTTAGAAATACAAGTTATGAAATTTAACAAGAAAATAGATTATCGACATTTGCGTCGATACATACAATCTCCTCCTTCCCCCCC